TCTTCCTCTTTCTCTTTCTCCTCTTTCTCCTCCCTCTCTTCCTCTTTCTCCTCTTTCTCCTCCCTCTCTTCCTCTTTCTCCTCTTTCTCCTCCTTCTCTTCCTCCTTCTCTTCCTCTTTCTCCTCCCCCTTCTCTTTCTCCTCCTCTTCCTCCTTCTCTTCCTCTTTCTCCTTCTCTTCCTCCTTCTCTTCCTCTATCTCTTTCCCTCTCTCTTTCTTTATCTTTTTCTTTTTCTTTTTCTTTATCTTTTATTGTATGATGTGTACCATTAGTTATTTCTTCTTTTTTTATTCTTATACCTTTGCTGCTGCCATTGCTGCTGTTGCTGCTGCTGCGGCGGCGGCGTGATCCTCCTCCTCCTCCTCCTCCTCCTCCTGCTGCTGCTGCTGTTGCTGCTGCTGCTGCATCTCCTCTTTTCTCTCTTGAGAGATCTTCACGAGAGGAGCCACGATCTGTTGTCATCTTCCTTATAAGCAGCACAGCAGCACTTGCTGCTGCTGCTGCTGCTGCGGGCTGCTGCTCTTGCTGCTGCTGATTCTGTTGCTGCTATTGATCCTGATAATGTTTATAGAGAAGGATCTACGTAAGGAGAGCAGCAGAAGTAGTATGCAGTCAATAGTTCCGCTGCAGCAATGAGGTGTACATGCAGCAACATGGGCATGACGTTGTGCTGCAGCACAATTAGGAGAATATACACCCCGTTAATCCTATAAATAGAAGAGTTATGTTACTAATAAAGAGAAAATACCCTAAAAAGAAGAATACATGAAGAAGAAAGCTGCGTAAGAAGGGAGGAAAAATCTGCACGGCGGCAGCGGCAGACAGCAGGAGGGCATAAAGGAGAGAGAATCAAGATGCCGCCAAATAAACAACGATGAATTATAATAAAATAAATATAAACAAATAGATTTTAATGATTGAAAAAGGAAAAGAAAGACGAAAAACAGACAAAAACCCTCAGTAGCTGAATTTTTCTGTAGCTGCCATCATCAGGTCCTGCGCTGCAGCCCCAATACATATTATTATATATGTACAGGAGGTGATCACAGTGTATGCATGCATCATTTTTTTGCGATTAATTCATTTATTTATTTATAATTTATTATAATTTTATAAATTATTATTCATAATTAACGTAATTAAAGAAAAAACAAAGAAAAATAGTCTTTATTTACCCCCTATTTCATGTTGCTGCTCGTGCAGTAAGCTGAATATGAATTACCCATCATCATGCAGCAACAAGAAGAGCATTGTTAATATTGTTACGTCATTAAATATTCATAATTATTTATTTAAATATAATTTTTATTCTTTTTTTATTTATTTTCATGATATTTACTCTTTATTTATGCAAATTATTCATTAAGAATAAAAAAAATGCTATTTATATATATGTATATATATAAATATATATGTAGGATCTGCAGTATATAAGGAATACACGAACTGCATGCCTATTGCGTCTTTTTAAGAGGAAATTCAGAGAAAAACAAACAAAAAAAGATAAATTAATAAAATATAAATATTTTATTTAAATAAAAATACATTTTTATGTTTTTTTTCTTTTTTTTGTTCATATTTTTATGCATTTCTTCCCTTTGCGCAACAAAAAGGAATAATACTCAGTTAGTAGCAACTGTGCAAATGTTCTTATGCAATAAATAAACAGAAAAATGTTTATTAATTATATTTTATGATTTAATTATTTATATTATTTAAATTATTTATATTATTTTAATTATTTTATTTTATTTATTTATATTAATTTAATTATTTTTATTAATTTATTATTTATTGTCCTATGCTGCCGTTATATATACCCTATAGGAGGAGGCTTTTCCTCCATTTTCTTGTATATACACTTATAAGTATATCTTTTTAATATATTATTTATAGCTATTAATTTAATATATTAATTTAATAAATTAATTTAATATTTATTAATATAAACAAATAAGGGTTTAGGGTTTAGGGTTTAGGGTTTAGACTGCCTGGTCATAACAAATCTACCAAGTAAATTCTCCTAAGGAAAAAAAAAAGGGAATAAAATATTTTTTTGTGTATTTGTTTATATTTTATTTAATTAAGAAAGGACTTTTTATGCCTATTTATGCCTTTTTTAGGCATTTTTTTCTTTATTGTCTTTCTTATAATTTGCCTCAATAGGCTTACATATAGAATAAGCTGTTAATACAGCTTATTTTCTTTATACAAAAAAAAATGTTTAAATAAATAAATAATTTATTATTTATTTATTTATTTATTTATTTATATTTATTTATTATAAATATAAATTAATATTTATATACAAAATGCTGCAACAAACATAAAATTATAATTAACTATCGTTGTTATCTACAGGCAAGGAAAATAAATATAATTATATTTATTATAAATATATTTATTTATTATTTATATTTATATTTATAAATATAAATAATAAATAAATAAAACTGTATTTATTATATATAATAAATATCCCTTACATATTCTGTTGCCTTTTTACCTTCTCTATGTTGTCAATATATGAAATTACAGCAGCAGCAGCAGCAGCACAAACAGCAGCAACAGCAGCAACAGCAGCAGCAGCAGCAGCAGCAGCAGCAGCAGCAAAAATAATATTATTTATTTATATATTTCCTTAATGGGATCCTCCTATTAACTTTAAGGCGTTTTCTACTTGCTTAGACACTGAGAAAAAAACAAAAAATATATTTAAATAAATAAATAAATAAATAAATAAATAAATAAACAAATAAATAAATAAATAAATAAATAAATAATTTAGTAATAAATAATAATTAATAGATGGTATATCTGTATATTTTTGTAGCAATAACATACAGAAAAAGAAACATTTATAAACGAGTAAGAACAGCAAATATATATAATTATATATTACTTATATTATTCTATATAATATATAATTATATACTATTTACTATTATATTTATTTATTTATTTATTTATTTATTTATTTATTTATTATTTATATTTATATTACTTACGTTGCAGGTCAATATCTCCAATAGTAAGAGGTAACTTTGTAAGATCTGCAGAAAAAGGAAGGAAAAAAAAAAAGAAGAAAAAATAATAAAATAATAAATATAATAATAATAACAATTACTATATATGAATATATACATAATATATATTTAAATATATTTTTGTTTCCTTTTTTTTTTCTTCTTTTTTTTTTGATTTATTTTCTTACCTGATTCAACAGTAATTTCTTGACATTGTTTAGCTGCCTTATCTAGTGTATTTTTAGGTTTATTATTATGTTTATTATTAGCAATAAAATTATTATAAATAGGAAGAAAAGTAAGGAAAGAATTAATTTCTTGTTTCCCTGGTAGGGCTAGATAAGGTAATTGGTATCGTTTTTTGTGGTGTACGTACACCTGACAATATATAGATTCATAATAACGAAGAAGAAGAGAAGGAAGAATAGATTGAGATAAAGGCCATAAAAGTGCCTTATTTTTTGTATTTTCTTTACTACAATTAGCTACAAGGAATTTAAATACATTTTCCCCTAAATAATCTACACCATCAAAGGGAATAAGCAAAGAAACACCTAATAAACTCCCTGGTCCTACTACAGGTTCGTCAGGTTTATCCGGTCTTGTTTGGCTTAATAGACGACCCATTAGGCTTGCTAAATAAATAAGCAAACAAATAAACAAACAAAAAGAAAGAAAAACAATAAAATAAACAATAATAAATGTGTTTCTTCCTCCTAATTACTACTTTTGTCTGTTAACTTTATACAATAAGAAAGAGAAAAAAAAAAAGAAAGAAATAAGATATTATTATTAGAGAGGAAAAGAAGGAAAAAAGAAAGAAATAAAAACAGAAAAAAACAATTAATTAATTAATAAATTAATAAATTAATAAATTAATAAATTACCTGCATCAATACATATTCTTGCATGTTTATGTATAATTCTTTCTTTATTTATATTATGATTAAATAGATCTTTATTATCAATAGAATGTTGAATAAATAAAGAAATAAAAAAAGAAGAATTTTTTGTTCCTTTTATTACCTCTGGTGATTTAAATTGTCTATTTAATGATAAGAAAAGTCTCTCGTAAATATCTGCATTTGCTGCCCAATATAAACAAACAGCAGCAACACGAATTATATCTTCTTCTTCTTTTCTTCTTCTTTTTTCTTTATTCTCCTTCTCCTTCTTTTTATCCTTATTATCCTTCTTAGGCTTCTTATCTTTCTTATTCTTCTTCTTCTTGCTGCTGCTGTCGTCGTCCGTGCTGCTGCTGTCGTCCGTGCTGCTGCTGCTACTGTCGTCCGTGATGCTGGTGCTGTCGGTGCTGCTACTTCTGTCGCTACTGCTGCTGTCGCTGCTGCTGCTGCTGCTGCTGCTGCTGCTGCTGTCGTCTTCGTCGCTGCTGCTGATGCTGTTGTTGTTTAGCCAATGTACTAAATACTCAGTTGTCTTCTCACGGATATGCATTGGTGATTGTGTTAAGTCTAAGGGAAAATCCTTACAATCTAATCAATAACAGAAAAAAAAAAAGAAAAAAAAAGAATTAAATAAAAAGAATAATTAAATAAATAGAATAATTAAATAAAAAGAATAATTAAATAAAAATATAAATATAAAAAAAAAAGAAAAAGAAAAGTTATTTATACAATATAATGCATGCATGCAACAGCTGCTGTTAAACAAAGGGCATCAATACAGGAACATATTAGGCTACTCATGTATACATATATATACTTATTACTATTCTTATTAATTAATTAATTAATGTATTTATTTATTTATTTAATTTATTTGTTAATTTATTTATATAAAAGGACTAACGTTCATGGTCTGGATGTGGTTCTGCCATACGAGGAGCTGCAAAAGAGAAGAAAAGTTTTATTTATTATTAAGAAAAAAGGAAAGAAGAATAAATTGAATGCATGCAGCCCCAAAGCTTAATACTAAGGAAACAGGAAAAAATAACACAATTGCATGCAGCCCTTTGTTACTTGTGTCTATACCCTGCGTTGTGATCTGTTGCATGGCGTTTAAAGGGAGGGTTAAACTGCTGCTGCTGCTGCTGCTGCTGCTCTTGCTGCTGCTGCTGCTGCTGCTGCTGCTGCTGCCTATCTTTGTCTATCTGCTGCCTCGTGTTACTTACTGCGAGAAGGTCTTTCCTTTGCTTCTGGTTGCTCTTCGTCAGTTTGCTTTGGTTGAGGTTCTTCTGTAGCAGCAACAGCAGCAGCAGCAAACAGAGGAAAGCAGCAATTGAATAGAAGCCCCTACTACAGTATCTGCTGGTCCCTTACTGTTCTTCTTTGTATATTTATATATAGGTTGTATTAAGGTACCCTCTTCTTATATATAAACAAACAAACTACTGCCTAGTGACTCACCAGCAGGTGGCTCCTCTTCTTTAGGCGGAGGATGAGGGGGAATGGGAACAACATGTTGGGGTTTCTCTTCTGCAACACAGCAGCAACAGCAGCACCAGCAGCAACAACAGCATAAGAGTTACCACCAACCTAACTGTGGGACAATAGGCCTGAGCCTTCCCCTTGTTATATCCATAAGTCTTAATAGAGGCAGAGACGAGGAAAGAGCGTAGCCATGGAGAAAGAAATGACCCCTTAATGAACATACCTTCGCTAATGGGTGCCTCAGCTGCAGAAACCACAAGAACAAACACAAGGAAAATAGAGAAAGAAATACACCAATAGACACTGAATAATGAATATTTCTGTTTAATTGAGTATTGTATTTCCTCAATAGTTGCAGATAATCTTTTATAATACTCCTTTATTAATATTATTATTTTATTCAAGTCTGTTACACCATCACTTGCCTGTAACTGAGAAAGGTACAACTCTGTCGTCCTTCGCCTTCTTAATGATTTTATTAAGAACTTCTTCAATAATAATATCTTTTATTTTCCATGAAGGAACTTTTCTTACTTCTTCTTGTTCTGAATGTTTAGAGGCTCTCAGTAAATGTTCTTCTATTTCTTCTGTATGCTTAGATAGCCCGCTACGGAAATCCTCCATTGAGCATTCGTCTACAGGCTTCTTCAGCTGAACTGTAAAGACAGTTGCCTCGGGGATAAAGGTGAGAGAGGCGCGGACTCCAGATGGAAGCGTCAGTGACGCTTCTTTAAGACCAAACTTTACTGCAGGAATGAATGCAAGAACACAGAAACGGTGGGAGTCTCGATCTAATTATAACTGGAGAGCTGGCATGTCCTCTACAGGATCGTGAACATCTCTAGAGTGTACTGTTCAGCCGATCATCTTAAATGCGCCACAAACGCACCATGATTCTCTGGAGCTTTCCGTCTGCGAGGAGGAGGGACGGGAATTGCAGGCTTTTCCTCTGAACAAGCAACAAGCAAAAGGCATGCCACACAGCTCATTAAGCAGTTTCAATGAAATTAGAACATCCGTTGTAAGGGAGAGTGGGGAATCATCATCATATAAATAAGCCATAGCCCACCTTTCTCAGGCGCGCCAGCTGATGTCCGAGAGAGATGCGAAGAAGAATTCACACACAAAGACGCATAATTGTTATAAAAGGGACGTTAATCTACACGATTTCCATCACACGTGCTGTACTGGTGAGTTCTATGAAATTTCCTTCCTTTTTCATGGGCCAAATGGACACTACTTGCCTGAAACCGTAAACTCGACAATGTCATCCTTGTTGGCTGTTTCAACAATTTCTTCCATCTTTTCGGGAATAATTATTTCCTTCAAGATCAATTCCTTGACTTCTCGAGCTTCTTCCAGCTCAGACGTTCTAGCGGCTTTCAGCAGTTGCTTTTGAATTTCCTCCTTGTGCTTCTCCAGACCCCTGCGAAGGTCTTCAAGCGAGCTGTCCGCTACAGGCTTATCCAACCGAACTGTAAAAGAGGTTTTGCTGGGTTCAAAATGGAGAGCGGCGTGGGCTCCAGATGGGAGCGTCAGCGCGGCTTCTTTAAGACCAAATTTTACTGCAGGAATGCAAGAACACGGAAACTTGAACGGAGCTCAGATGCCGATGGGGCTTTTGGTCCGATTCTAAGTGGCACTCTTGCTTTGCCTCTAGATGATTGCGGACGTTTGTAGTGTTTTAGTTAGCTTGTCATGCAAACTATGCCGCGTACGCACCATGATCAGCTGAAGGTTTCCGCTTGCGAGGAACAGGAACTGGAATTGCAACCTTCTCCTCTGAACATACCACACACCAAACGCCACCAACAAGCCTTATTTCGATGTTCAATTTGACGTAGAACATCTCTTGTGAAGGAGGATGCCGGATTATCTTCATGCAAATAAATCGTAGCCCACCTTTCTTCTCAGGAGCTCCAGCTGAGATATCAGAGATGCAGAAAAGAATTCACACACAAGCGCATATCATTCTTAAGAGGAGAAACGGTGAGTTTCATGTGCACAGTTTCCATCAAACTTGTTTTGCTAGTGAATTCTACGAGATTTGCTTCCCGTTGCACACTACTTGCCTGAAACCGTAAACGGAACGACGCCATCTTTATTGGCTATTTCAACAATTTCTTCCAGCGTCTGGGGAACAAATATTTCCTTCATGATCCATTCTTTCACTTCTCGAGCTTCCTCTAGCTCAGATGTTTTAGAGGCCTTCAACAATTGTTCTTGAATTTCCTCTTTGTGTTTTGCAATGCCTCTGCGGAAGTCGTCAAGTGAGCTTTCAGTTACAGGCTTATCCAGATGAATTGTAAAAGAGGTATTCTTTGGATCAAAGTGGAGGGAGGCACGGGCTCCAGATGGAAGTATGAGGGAGGCTTCTTTAAGACCAAACTTTACTGCAGGAATCCAAAAACACGGAAACTTGAACAAAACTGAGGTGCAGGTGAGAGCGTTGATCCCATCCTAAGTGGGGCTCTTGCTTCATCTCTGGAGGAGAATTAACATCTGTACGGCGTTCTCTTTAAACACGCCGCAGACGCACCATGATCAGCTGTAGGTTTCCGTGTACGAGGAATAGGCACAGGAACTACAGGCTTTTCCTCTGAAAATACCACACAACAAAAGCCACCCATACCGCTTATTTCCCAGTTTCAATGAACTTTGAACATTTTCCCATGAAGGAGGATGCGGGATAATTATTATTGAAGTATTCTGTAACCCACCTTTCTTCTCCGGAGTGCCAGCTGAGATCCGAGAGATGCGGCAAAGCATTCACACACAAACATCTACTATCGAATACACGTGAAGTTCATGTACAAAGTTTCCACCTAATTTGCAATTCTGGTGTATTGTGTTCTCTGACGGTGATATCCTGTTTCATGAATCAGAGTACTACTACTTGCCTGAAACCGTAAAAGGAACGACGCCATCCTTATTTGCTATTTCAATAATTTCTTCCAGCGTCTGGGGAACAAATATTTCCTTCATAGCGTATTCCTTGACCTCTCGAGCTTCGGGTAGCTCAGAGTTCTTAGAGGCTTTGAGTATTTGTTCTTGGATATCCTCTTTGTGCTTTGCTATGCCGCTGCGAAGGTCGTCAAGTGAGCTTTCAGCTACAGGCTTATCCAGCTGAATTGTAAAAGAGGTATTCTTGGGATCAAAGTGAAGGGAGGCGCGGGCTCCAGATGGGAGCGTAAGCAAAGCTTCTTTTAGACCAAACTTTACTGCAGGAAAGCAAGAACACGGAAACTTGAACAAAGCAAAGATGGAGGTGGGCTTTGCGTTTCGCTTCTATCCGCTGTACGTTCTTCTGTTCCACAGCATCGTGAACATTGGCAGAGTGTTGTTCTTTAGCTGTTCATCTTAAACAGGCCGCAAACGCACCATGATCAACTGTAGGTTTCGGTTTGCGTGGAGGGGGAACGGGAGTTTCTGGCTTTTCCTCTGAACATGACGAACAACAAATGACAGCAACACCGCTTATTTCGCAGTTTTAATGAACGTAGAACACTTCTTGTAAAGGAAGATGAGGGATCATCATCATACAAGTATGCTGTAGCCCACCTTTCTTCTCAGGAGTTCCAGCTGAGGTCCCAGAGATGCAGAGATGCAAAATAGCATTAACACACAACCACTTACAATTGTTAAGAAGAAAACCAATGAATTGTATCCACATAATTTCTATCACCCGTGCAATTCTAATAAGTTCTTTCCCTTTTGCTTTCTGCTTAGTGGGACAAGGCAGCGCACTACTTGCCTGAAACCGTAAAAGGAACGACGTCGTCTTTCTTGGCTATTTCAACGATTTCTTCCAAAGTTTGAGGAACAAATATTTCCTTCATAGCGTACTCCTTGACCTCTCGAGCTTCGGGTAGCTCAGAGTTCTTAGAGGCTTTTAGTAATTGTTCTTGTATTTCCTCTTTATGCTTGGCTATACCGCCGCGGAGGTCATCAAGTGTGCTCTCCGCTATCGGCTTATCCAGACGAACTGTGAAGTAGGTATTCTTGGGCTCAAAGTGGAGGGAGGCGCGAGCGCCAGATGGAAGAGTAAGGGCAGCCTCCTTAAGACCGAACTTAACTGAAGGAAAACAACAGAAAGTAACAAAGAAGACGACTGTGCTCGCCAGTCCTCCATTACAGGGACGACTACTATACCCACTGAATTGCTCTACTCTAGCAGCAGCAGCAGCAACAACAACAACAGAACAGCAGCAGAAGAACAGCAGCAGCAACGCGAGTGCAGGTGAGGGTGTACTGCACCTTCTGTTGGTTCAGGTTGTTTAGGTGGAGGACTTGGCGGTGGTTTTGCTTCTTCCTCTGGGCATAGCAAACAACCAAATAATTCATTATATGTTTTTTTTCCCTCTATGAATATCTAAGAGCACTAAGTAATTATAATGCATTAACTAAGGGAATATATATATATATATATATATATA